TGGATGTTTTATTGCCCTTGTCTAGCTCGGATTAGCACATAGTCTACAAGCACACACATGATCATCTACAATTGCTCTCTTACAACACTAAACTATGTTTTCTACCTTTATCTTGCATCTACCTACCACTTCAGCATTTTATTAAAAATAAAAATAATAATAATAATAATAATGGGAGAAATGTGGGATCCACATATAAATCAAGTATAAAAATCAAACGAATATTCATATTTGACCTGATTGTTTATAGTTCATAATGCGTGATCAAAACCGAAAGTTTCTGTGATGAATGTCCTTGTACTGTTCACCATGTAATAACTTATTCACTATGTAAGAATTCGTTCACCATGTAAGAACTTGTTCGTTATGCTTCAGAAGATTGGAGACTGACGAGAATTAGGCTTGAGATGGATTAGTGATTGTGCATTGAGCACTGACCCCCCTATACAGAATTTTATTGTTGTTAACAACCATTTGATCAATAAATATGAGAGATACCCTCTCAAAAAAAAAATTCTAACTTACTTCCACATTCTTCTTAACAATTATATAATGATTAGATTGATGTTGCTCTTGTAGTAACTAGTTGTAAAAGCCTTTCCTAAATAAATTGTATTAATGGCTAGTGTAAAACATTTGTTAAAAAGGACAAAGAACTTTCAGAGCAGTTTCCTTTGAGAAACAATTTGGAATGCTAATATTTTGGAAACCAGGGACCTGCTACCTTGAGATTCTGGATGCCTGTCCCAAAGAGGTACACTTTAGAATAACTGCGCTTCCTTTCTATCACTTCCTACAAGGGCTCAAAGGCTACATCTAAAGCTCTAAGCAAGAGACAGGGCTCTGTAGAGGGCAGATATCAAACTGCAAATTCTACAAGAGTTACAGCATTTAGTGACTTTAAGCCCAAATGTATCTTCTGCCAACAACCAAAACAGCCTGAAGCATTTTCTACAGGTTGTTTACTTGGATGTGTATATACCATTACGAGAGTACACACACATCTCCAAAAATGGATGTGTACATGGGCATTAATTGCAGTGTACTTTGTAACAGCAAATAAATGGAGATAATCTAAATATCCATCAATAGAATGATTAAATTGTGTGACATCCAGACACTGGAAATCCATTTGGCTGTTAGTAAGAATGAGGTAGATTTCTAGGTACCTAGAAAGACAGCTAGAATATACTGCGTAGTAAAGCATGGCAACAATGTTTCCTTGGGGCTACCTTTTGAAAAAGATCATATAGATGCACTTTATTATTCCACTTATCATTCTATATATTATTCTCCCAGACACATTTGTTTATATACGCAGGTAAGTCTATAAATGACACTAAACCCAATTCCTGCAAAGGGGTATTGGGATATTTTACTTCATATACTTTGTTACATATGATTTTTAAAAGAATAGGTTCTACATTTTTCAAGTTTCAAGTAAAAATTAATAAAAATAAAAATCACTCTGGTACTTACTAAATATATAAGAAGGTCATTCAAATTTCTCTCTTATCTCCATAAAATATACCTTCTTCATATCAACCATATACTTTTAAGGTCATGTGAGAATTCTCACACTCTCATATTCAACAGAAAGTTATTTTTCTCCAGGGTATAAGGAGCTCAGACATTGCAACATATAAAGTATTCAGGCATCACTAAAAATATCCTGAAATCAAGTGGTTAAAAAATATGTCAAAGCTGGAATCTGTCCACTGGGACATTGTCTTCTGTCAAATGCATCACCTCCAAGCTCCTACTCTACCTCCGTTCCCGCCAGAGAGAGGCTATTCTTATTTCTTTTCCCACAGATAATAGCTCTGTTTTCCCTCCCTTCAGCCAGAGAACTTGCAGATCCTCCAGTTTCCCACCAAGAACCACTCTGGGAAAACAGCCTCTGCCAAAACCCAGCTTTCCACTCACAAAATTATGGGAAAAAAATCAGGAGATGCCTCTCTAGTCCATCCTTTAGGGTTCAATCAATAATTAAACAAAATACAGAGACACATTAAGAATCAAAGAATCTCAGAAATGCAAAGCTGGATACATAAGTTCTTTAAAATAGGACAGCAGCTCTTTTAAGACACATTCTGATAACTATTCTAGAAAGACATCTATATAAGTCCAGTTCCAAATACCAATGAAAAAATCTTTTGTAATACACCTTCTCTACATAGAATAAAATATTGTAAAACAGAACCAATAACATGAACAGTGGTGAACACTGGCTTAAATGATATATTCTTCATCATAGTTGTATATTCTAGAGAGTCTATGGTAGACATATATAAACTATGTATCAATTTTTTTAAAGGACTTAAAAAAAAAGATACTGGTTAAGACTTATATCAAGCCGACAAACTAGATGAAGAAACCACTATTCTGACGTCTCCATCACATTCTCCCAGGGAATCTATTGAAACACCGTTGGCATCTTGGAAATGAGAAATAGTACCTCCCCTGGGAGGACTTCCTTGACTCCCTGAGCTAACTGCTCACTTTTCCATATTCCCCTAGCACTCTCTACCACTATTACCATACCAAGCATATTATTTCTACACTGAAATTATTTGTCTCATTTCCCCTAGTCAACTGCAAGCTCCTCCAGGACAAGGAGAATCATGTATTGATTTCTGTGGTCCCGTGATAGTGCCTGAAATATTAGCAGTTTGAGTTTCCTGAGTGAAGGCAAGCGTCCTTGCTGCAAATTCATTTGAATATTTAATTAAACACCTGTGGTCAGTGGGTACCTACTGGAGGGATTTATCACACACTTCAGAGAAGCTAAATGCTCATGTGACTGGAAGCAACCCCTCCTGTGTGCCCTCAAATCCCTATTTTCCCATGTCACCATGGCAATGAAGAAACCAGGNATGAACAGGAAACCACCCCCCTGTGAACGGGGAGTCTCCACCTTATCTAATGTTACAGTTCTAACACTGGGTGGATATAAGGGAATTCATTTTCTTCTTATACCTTTCGTATATTATTTTTTTATTCAGTAGTCACTGAAACCATTAAAAATTTTCAAAAGATTCTCCTTAGTTCACTGGCTTAATGAACATACTTTAAACACCTACTCTGTTCTAGGCACTACGTTTTGGGGAGTTCACACATGAATAAATTATAGTTTCTGACTCAAGGGGTTTGCGGTCCAATGTGGGAGACACAAACAACTTAATACAACAGGACAACACTTACAAAAGGGATCCTCACAGAAAAATGGTCTATCCGTCATTCTCCTGCTCCCCATTCCCACGCAGGAGTAAGGAAAGCCTTGGGACAACCCGCACAAGAAGGGAAAAACCAAACCACAGCCGAGCACACAGCTCTACACCTAGCATGTTATTAAAAGTGGTCAAATAGCACATCAAGCCACCTTTCTGTTATTTCCCATTCATCTTCTCACGTGCTTATTATATGGGGAACTATGTGCAACTTCTGGTATGTGGAATCCTTCAGAGTTTTTAAAAAAATAAAAATATGAGTCAGCTAAGCTCTGATAACTTCCCCAGTGTTCTGCGTAAAGCCACCCGCGGACAAGGGCCCACACGCCGAGCTCAGGGAATGCTGAAGTCACCCTCGGTCTGCTCACCACGCGTGCTGGTGGCCATGTCAGCCACTTTCTGAAAGGCATCCAAGAAGGCAGCTGCCGCTACCACTGTCGTCCTAAAAGGCAAACAGATAACAAAAAGCATGAGGAATGTCTCACACTAGCAAATTCAGCACAGCTAAAGGGCTAAAGCTTCCACTGGAACTGCCTCTAACCTTCAAGGAGACACACGTCAACTGGACATGGATGCCCATTGGCTTTGCAGACCCACTTTTTTCTCAGAAGCATTTCTCCTCCTCCTATTAGCACTGGGCCCCAATAACTGCCCAGCTCTTCTGGTGACACCCACAAGTGCTAGCACTTCTTCCCATTTCGCCTAACAGTGAAATTACTACCAGGCAAAATTTCATAAAGGAGCAAAAGACAGACGTTTCTACCTAAAAGAAAAACATCATTAAAAACATAAACGTTACAGGTGAAAGTAATTTTAGTGTAGGAAAAGGAATGGATTGGAAGGAGGAAACTTGGAGTGTCTAGTTCAAACAATTCATTTGAGTGATGGGAAAACTGAGAGCACAACTAGAAAGTGACCTTCGAAGATGGCTAGTTCCTATCAGAGCTGGGACTAGCAGCCCAGCATGGCTCACAGTCCCATGTTCCTCCTGGTACAAGACAAGATCTTAGCTATGAGACTTCCCCTCTAAGTTATAATTATAATGAAACCAAGATACTGTTTTTTCAGCCCTAGAATGCTATCTCAACTGTATCTTCCCAATTCCTGTAAGTAGAGAATGGGGTGAAGTTAACTATACTCAATTGCTATCCTAAAAATTCTTTTGAATTCTTCACATCCCCTGTGCACTGTAAGATGCCTTGAGCTCCCTGCAGTCTGCTGATCCCCAGAGTCATGATCTAAGATGTCATTCAATGGAGAGTAAGCACCGCTGCCTGCCGGGCTGTGGACCGCGCAACAAGCCAGCCAGCCCCAGGACTCACAAAAGGATCTTAAAGTTAAGCTTACAGCCTGATGCTAATTTCCAAGTATTTCCCTTGAGAATCCAGTCTTTACTGAGCATTCCTAGGAAAGCAAAGTTGCAGAAGGAAGATGAGAATAAGGACTATAAAGGGAGGACATCAAAATGAACTTTAAACATAAGCAACAGTAGTTATGAAACAAAAGGCTCCTGGGAGGTTCTGGGGTGGTCCTGAGAAAACCTGGGCAACAGTCCCTTACAGCCAAACCTCAAAATGAGGCCTGATATTTTCAAGTAGAGCAAGAGAACATTCTGCTCAGATTAAACAAAACAAGACATACATACAGAACAACAACAAAAAAACCTTCAAAGCTTTTTTTCTTTTTTTTTTTGAGAGAGTTGACATCAAATGCAAACCCTGGAAAAAGGAGCTTTAGCGAACATTCTGGGATTTATAAATAGCTCATTCTGATTTACAATTAATATCTAATGCAACAGCTGGATTTATTCTCATTCAAGTCAATGCCAATCATCCAAATTTAATGAGCCAGTTGCAGGGGTGCCTTGCGTACTAGTCACCCGGGTCCACTGAAAATGAGGATGGTGATCAAGTGTGAGGAATAAACACTTCCCTCCAATGAATCCTATTTCATTGTCTGCTCTTGTCACAAGACATTTTAGTTCTCTCTGATGGGACAGAACAAACGTGAAGCCCACTCATGACTCTGGAAGTCCTAGGTCCATGGGATGGAAATCCCAAGCCCCATGAAGCAGAAGGAATGGAGGGGAAAGACCCACCTCTCCTGAGCTCCCTCCCGATCTACAGGCAGCCATGGACCAGCCAGCCCAACAGCTAAAGCCCTGGGCAGTAACCCTGGTGTCCGGGGGCAAAGGCCCAAGTCTCATGTCATCCCTCCCTCCTCTGTCATCCAGTTGGCTTACTGTCCTAGGAAACACCTACCTGCTTTGTCCTCCAGAAAACCATCCCCATACATGCAAACCAGCCAACATCA